CCTCCGATAGGGTGGGTACGTCTGATTGGATGGAACCGCGACCTCCCGGAATGTTCCAAGTATATCACACAACGCAATCCAAGATTATATTAATGAGCATGTTTTTAAGTTACACGTCTTATTTTGTTGCGCGATTGTAGCACTTAAACTTTAGTTATTTATCGGCAAATATGAGATGTATAAACAGTCTTTTGACGCAAATAATATTGCAGCTGTTTTCGTTTATTTTTCCTTTTCTTATTTTGACAATTATTTAATTGAATTTGAACGATTTGAGCTATTGTGCATGAAATGAACTGTATAAAATGATTTTGTTTGCGTTTTTGTATCGATTGTGTGATGAAGTTATGTATCTTGAGTATAATATAGATTAAAAGGCTGGGTTGTTCCACCTTTCTCTCTCTTTCAATAAATTTCAATTTATTCGCTCTTTTACTCTCGCTCTCATTCTCTATTTCTTTCGCTCTCTCTTTTGTCCATTAGATAAATTACCATATAGTTTATCTAAAGAGGGAGCAACCGGCTCTTAATCTTGCTGTTAGAGAAGATGATAGAAGCATAGACCTGCATTCAGAATGCGCTTTTATCGATAAATACGAACTTTTATGTCTGAAAATCTTTAGTATATATAATGTGAATTATATATGCTAAATACGCGCAAATATCATAAAAGCAAATATCACATTTTTAATATGGGTAGAATTTTCTGGGATAAAAGTGGGTACTAACATTGGCATATTAAATTCTTTTTCTCAAAAATGAAAATTTATAGTCCATATATAACATTGATCCGTATTATTAGAATGCTAACCAAATATAAACGGAAATGAGATAACTCGTAATTAAATCACAGTGTTAATTTTATGAATTAAAAGCGTACAAGATATTTTATATTTCTATCATCTTCTCTGTTAATTCTTTATTTGTTATCTGTTTATATTTTTAACTTTTTATATTCTATGTACGTAATTAATTAGATTGAAATATATCTTCAGTTTAAAAACGAAAACTTAAATATTTTTACTTAAATATGATAGGTGACGTTATGAATAGAATTCTATCCTAAATTCTGACGCAATTATAAATCATCTAAAGTGAGTTTAAAAAAATAAGTAGGAAAAGGCCTTTATTATCGTGCTACAGACCTTTTAAGTAGAATCATAAATAGAGGAAATTTCCTCTGTATATCGGTCTGTATATAGCTACTTCTCATTATTATTTAGAACATTTCCATATTAATTATTTAGGACATTTCCATATAAATTAGAAAGAATAACACTTATTTTCGAAAAATTATGTTTATGTATTAAAAGACAAAGTAATCTATTATCGCCAGGAATTAAATATTTGGAAGATATTGATCAAAGAACTATATCTACATGTGAGCTATACATTGCACCTTTCGTGCGGTATGATTATTACTGTTATTTATTAATTATTGCGCAAATCGTGATGTCGTACATCAAAAAAGCTCGCATGTAGGCTACTGTAGTCGTTAAATTTTTATATTTTATTTTTGGATGCACGTTTCATTAGGCAGGAAGGTAGACTAGTTATAGACTTAAATTATTCATATAGTTTAAATCTTTGAGGACATCATTATCATTTCATAGATACGACATGATTTCGTTCTCGCTCTATCGGATCCTCATGAAAAAAGCACGAGCAAGGGCAGTTATGAATTATATATACAGTGATATATGTGTTCTGTTTCCTTTGCGTCCTATCTGTGCGATACGGACGAACTTCATATTTAAATACGAAGTTACAAAAATATTTTATTGTAAATAAATAGTAGAAAGTAGAGAGTGAAAATTATTTTTCTTTGCGATCATTTTTTAACTTAGCGCAGTAGAATATACACATTGTTAATGCAAATTAAGTCGAAAAAAGTTTTGTGAGCGTTTCATGTGATGATTCTAGAGGAAGAGAGGATAGTGGAGAAGATAGTAGAGACGGGGGTAGTTCGAGTGGTCATCGTGAACCTCGGTCGACTCCAGATTGGGGTCCAAATGCGTTTAATGGGGAACATCTTTGGGTACCAACCGCTACATCCGGTGATTTCTGTTACGTCAATGACTGTTCTGTAAGTCGCAAAAATAAGACGGATGATGCTTAAGAATGACAGACGCATTCGAGATTTTGATTAATCGGATCGACATCGCCCTTTTCTTCTTTTTAACATTTAGAAACATGGACCCCGGTTGAAGTGTCCAGCTTGTCGTGTAGTGGCTCACGCCTGCTGCGTCGGAGGTTTAGAGTTCGCTTGCAAGCCGAGCTTTCGCGATGTAGGTGTACGTCAGTATCGCGAGCAAACGACAACCCATCATCACTGGGTCCATCGACGGTCGCAGAAGGGCAAGTGTGCCAATTGCGGCAAGTCCTTCCAATCGAAGCTCAGCTTTAGCTCCAGGGAAATCGTAGCGGTGAGCTGCAGCTGGTGCAAGGCTGCTTATCACAATAAGGAATCGTGCTTTAATGTACAGAAAATAGGCGAGAACTGCGAATTGGGCACTCACGCGTCGATCGTGGTGCCGCCGTCATGGATTGTGAAACTTCCTCGTAAGGGTAGTTTCAAGAGCAGCTTAAGAAGATCACCCAGAAAAAAAAAATCTGGTGATAGCTCTTACCGCCGGAAAAACAAAGAAAAAGAGAAGGAACAAAAAGAGAAAGAGAAGGAAAAAGAAAAGGATCAGGGAGAGTTGTGGATCGTTAAACCTATACCTACGGCCACGGTAAAGCCGGTGCTGGTTTTCATAAATCCGAAATCCGGTGGTAATCAGGGAGCTAAATTGCTACAAAAGTTTCAATGGTTACTCAATCCAAGACAGGTTTTCGATTTGACGCAGGGTGGTCCAAAAATGGGGTGAGTAAATCAGCTAAATAAAAATATATATGAACGACTGACAAGGATGACATATGATGAAAGAAAGAAAAAGATTGAATCAGTCAACTAAACAAAAATATATTGATCATCTTGCAGATTGGAACTCTTCAAGAAGGTTCCAAATTTGCGCGTGTTGGCTTGTGGCGGCGACGGTACTGTCGGTTGGGTCTTGTCGATCCTGGATCAAATTGGCACTTATCCAGCGCCAGCGGTTGGAGTACTTCCTCTGGGTACCGGAAATGATCTGGCGAGAGCATTGGGATGGGGAGGTGGTTACAAAGACGAGCCGATCGGCAAGATCTTGATGAGCATAGGTGACAGTGAGACCACCCTGTTGGACAGATGGCAACTGAAGGTTGAAAGGAATCCCGACTCCAAAAACGACGACGATGGCGGCAAGGGCAAGGAAAATCTACCGCTCAACGTCGTTAACAATTACTTTTCCCTCGGTGTGGACGCTCACATCGCCCTCGAGTTTCACGAAGCACGAGGTGAGACCTGATTTTAAATTTTTGCTCACATTAACAAGGGAACCATCAGAACTGTCCAAATTTGATGGCTTCAGATATTCTGTAGAACATAAAAAAATATTAGACCTGTATATTTTTATTCGCTCCCAACTTTAAGAGTCGAAACAATCCCAAAAAATAGGGATGTTTCCCTTCCTCATTTCAAAATCGATGAAAGACAATTCCGACGATTCCTTTGTAAGTTACGTCGATGACATCATGGATGTTGTGATCCTAGAATCTAATTCATGATTGGGAAATCGATTGTAGCCGATCAAGATTTCGTTCTGTGATTTCAATGAATTCAAAATGCATTGATCTTGAGAATTTCTTCCTTTCTTGTTTTTTAATTAAATAACGTTGCTTTATATTTCTGATATAAAATGTACTATATGTAAGAGAGAGGATTTTATTTGATAAATCCGCTGCGATTCGTTTATAGAGGCTCACCCAGAGAAGTTTAACTCCAGAATGAGGAACAAATTGTTCTACGGACAAATGGGCTGCAAGGACTTGTTGCTCACAAAATGGAAGGATCTCTCCGATTTCGTGACATTGGAATGCGACGGTCAGGACATGACGCCGAAATTGAGAGAACACCGGGTTCATGCGATACTGTTCTTGAATATCGCTTCTTACGGCGGTGGGACGCATCCGTGGAGTGCGGGAAGTGGCACTAGAGAACCCGCCATGGACGATGGCTTGATCGAGGTAGTCGGCTTGACCACTTATCAGCTGCCTCTTCTGCAAGCACGTGGACACGGTACATGCATAGTACAATGCAGCAAGGCCAAACTGGTCACGACAAAAACTATACCAATGCAGGCAAGCGTAATTTCTGTATCGTACTTAAATAGCCATTGTTTTGGTAACAATTCACGTACAGAATACACGACCAAGAATTATCTTATTCTTGTATTTTTTTATATCTTTGATCACGTGAGTTATTTTCTTTCTAATATGGTTCTAAATCATCTTCTTTGTACATTTTCGTGAAATATCTTCCAAATTGATTTTAATCGTTGAATATTATTTATACATTTTTGCGAATAAAGAGACATTTTTTAGCATAATAAAAATAAAACCTATTCTTGAAATTTTACCCGATAAGTATTCATATTACATTCCCTATATAATCTAATTTAACTATATAATTTTTTATAAAATATTACAGGTCGACGGAGAGGCTTGTCGCTTGTTACCATCCATCATAACTTTAAGTATGTTAAATAAGGTTACGATGTTAGCGAAAAGAAGGAATACGGGAAAGCCACACCAACACACAGCAAGATTAGACAGGCTAAAGCTGCCCGTGATGAGGATAAAGATGTCGGATTACGAGGCATATCATCATAACAAGGAGATGTTGAAGGATGTGGCAGAGTCATGGTTCGCGGAACCGCTCGAGCTTGACGCTGCGATCGATTTAGAAAGTCTAAGGAAACTCTTGACGAAAGATTATAATATGGATTCGTGCTGTTTCCTTGACTGTGAGTGCCGTCTCTCGCGCGAATTATTTGCAAATCCGCGCATGATTCTCTGTGTAAAAAATACGCAAAATACGTGTAGTTTCTATTTTCTAGCGTGCACTGCGGAAAGATTCTTCAGGATCGATCGCGGCCAGGAACAGTTGCATTACGTAACGGATGTCGCCGTGGACGCTGTATACATACTCGATGAAGACGCTGTGCAACAGCAATCCAGCGGCCAAGCGGGACCAAGTCAGATCGTCGTAAGCCAGGAAGTCAAAACCGCGCAAATTCACTTACCGAGGTACGCAGAGTATTTTCGTACGGATCTAGCATTAAATTTTTTTTTTCTTCAAAACGCATGATATGATATACGATATAGCGACGAACATCTAAAGGAGATGCCAGCCGTGACAGAGAAGGCAAATCGACCGAACGAAGATACACGGGGACAGGAACATCTCTCCGTCACCGGGAAGATCAAACTTTCCAGACAGCCAGAAAGCGTTTCCGAGGGTCAGAACGGTGTCAGGCCGAAGAATCCGGCAAATCGGAACTCTTTGGATGTGTCGTCGAGCGAGAACAAAAACGGCGAGTCAAACTCCTATATAAGACGCGAGACCCTGAAGCAAAACTCTCATGTTGCAATCGCTCGTGCCGAACAGTCGCAGCATCAGGCTGACCGATCTCTCGCTTTTATCAGGTAAGGTTCTCAGAATCTTGAGTGTCACTCCGGGGCGTGCCGTTAATTATCCGAATGATCGAGAGCCAAGAGGGGTGTCTATGCGACGTTAGGTAGAAGACAGGCAACTTCGAATGAAGACCACTGGTGGCTTTCAAAGCGGGTAGACCTTTATTCCACACGAATGCCTTTTAAACGGTATAAAAGGTATCGCGACTTGATGATATATTATGGATTATTCTAAAGAAAACTCAACACGAGCGTTACGTAAACTTTCATTCGACCGTACACTTCAATTATCTTTGCTCGGATAATTTATTCGGATAATAATTATTCACTATCCGCGATGTTGCAAAAGTAGTTTGCGTGCAGAGAAGAGGGGGCTGCCCTAATCTGGATTTCTCATTTCTATTTGCAGCCCTCGCGACAGACTCTTTGGCCTGAACTCGGGAGTTCACGGATTCACTACTGAATTACTAGAAAAGAACTGCGATGAAATATTGAGAGCAACGAAGATCGGCGATCTACCGACCTTGAAGCAGCTTCATCAAAAAGGGTACTCGCTTCTGTCGATCGATGAAGCTGGTCAAACGGCACTACACCTGGCATCGAGGCACGGACACAAAGACATTGTTAGATACCTTATTGCCTGCGCCCCACCGACAATTTTAAACATGATCGATAATGATAAGTAAGTTATCAACGAATCAAATAAAGGTCATCATAAAGTTAAAAATTTAATCTAAGAATATATTAATCGCTAAAATTTTTTCTATCACTCTCATTTATTTTTATTCGTATCGCTCCATTTTCTCTTCACCTTGATTCCAAAAGTGAGAAGTAATTTATTTCTGTTTCAGAGGGCAAACTGCTTTGCATAAAGCTGCCCAGAACAAACGTCGTTCCATTTGCTGTATGCTCGTAGCCGGCGGCGCCTCTTTGATGGTAAAGGACCGACACGGAAACACGCCGCATCAACTCGCGTTGATGGCAGAGGATCACGATCTAGCTGCGTATTTGCAAAGTACGTAGTAGTCCACAGAAGCATCCTTTGTCCAATCGTGAGACTAAATTAATTTTCTCGTTTCGTCAAAATAGAAGAAATATTTTATATTATAATTTCAAAACAGTGTCAGCAATAAAATCTCGTCTTTTTAACGTTAAATAAATAATTATAAGTAAGATATAATTATCCATGTACGAACTGTAACGATATATGTCACCAGGTCAAGAACACTTTCAATTGGCGACAGACGAGATGGAGAGCGATCTCTGACCTCCAGTGTTGATCGCCACGGCCTGAACCGCCCTGAACGAATGTGACGTAAGAGCCGCTATTATTGGCGTTCTGGCAACGTCTTTTGCGGCATTTTTTCCGGCGTAACGTAACGTAAATCGCCACGTGATAATCTGATATTCCTCGTCTGTCTACTTGACGTTGACGATTACGTGTTTGCCAAATAATGACGTATTTTTCTTGTCGATACTTCGAAATTTATTCTCTAAGACACAATTATCACATATAATTATACACACATACACGGATACACGCATACATGCGCATACGTACATAGTTGTTTCCAATCGATAATAAGTCCTTATTTTTCTCACTCGTAATCTTGCCCGAGGTTTGTAGCTCTACTTATATTCGTATACTCGGCAAGTGGACCATTATCGGTCAGGGAGCATTTAAAATTGCTCCTAAGACGAGCAAATTTATTTTTCGTACGACATTTAACGTCTCTCCGGTCCAAAGTGAGACAGTCAGTATTGTATATCTATAATTATATATAAATACATCTATTATATATTTGTGGAAAATTCTACAACAGTCTCATGCAAAAACAAGTAAACAAAATGGGTCAGTCATCATATTTGCGCGATTAAAAGATGAAGGACTGCTTGTAGAGTTCGGTTCAGTGAAACGAAACGTTAAATCTGTGCCAATTGACTGAGTTATGAAGAAACACTAACAACAATGCCAAACGAATATTGACTGTCTCATGTTGGAGTATGTGCAAAAGTATATATATAGATATATATACATATATATATATATACGAAATGTTCATAGTCTTCACTCGAAATGAGTGCTACAAGCGAATCGATAATCTGTTAGTTTTAATCCAGGGAAAATAGAGGATAATCTTAATGGGAGAACAATGAAAACGAAGGTACATTCTATAAATACCAAAATGTAAAAAGGGATCAACGTACGAACACCAATTAGTAGTTAGATGCAGTCTATCAACATTATTGTACTATTACTATTACTATGATACTGTTATTACAATTATTTTTCTGTCGGATTGATATAAGATCTGTATAATATACGTGTAGAATTTTTGAGGCGCTCATCGCTTGGATTTGAGCGTATTTTAAAGAAAGAGTGCCGCTCACAAGTCAATACGATCATGCACGCAACGATTACTTTCTTTCGTGCGCCTTAACTGAGCCCATTTACTTATCGATATTTCTGTGATCCTCTAGAAACTCAGTTTATATTCTATTATTTGAATGTGTGTAAAGATTTAATTCATACGGCGGCGAGTAAATCCTATTGCCTTTATCTCCTTTTATTCGTATACCGATGCTCAATAGTTCGTATACATTTCGTTGCAAAATGATAGAGAAATTAATAGGAAGCAAGGAATGTATCGAATACGACGGAATGACTGAATTGCTTGTTGATTTTAAATGATAATATATGAAGAAAAATATTTAAAGAAAATTATAACTGTTGTGAAATTATTTAGTTTCTTTTAATTTTCAATTTAATTCGAATTATTTCTTATCTCAAAATAGAAAATATATATCGTATCAAGATTATTGAGTATTGGTATTGCACAAGTCGTACACTCTCTTAAATCTTGTACACATGAGTGATTTTATAATCGCCAGATCTCATTGCGACGAGAAAATCGTTGACTCAAATAAAATTTGAGTACCTATATTTTTTAGGCGAACAGGAAAGAATTGCCGCTGTTTTCCGACTGTTAAGTTAAGTTTCATGCGAGAATATAGACAACTTACGAAGCTTTATGTTCGTCCACAATATAAGACAAAGAATTATTATTGTAACAGCAGGGAGGAGGGGGGGGGGTTTATTTTAGACTTCGTTAGGTCGCGATATGTAACAGTGTGATTTACGAACGCCGGTCTTTCATTGATTTTCTGTAAAGAAAAATTGACTGCGCGCTCGTGGTGGGAGAGGAGCGCGCTGTCTAGTACGTCCTTGCTTATCTTTATCGCTCTTTTGGAGTATTTAAGAAGAAATGCCTTTCGCGATCCGTACCTGTTGTATCGTTGTACCGATAAAAAGAGAATTTAAAGCGAGAGAGAATACTGCAAGGATCGTTGTAGGATCGTTGTAGGATCATTATAGGGCGTGTAAGAGTATATTACGCGTACGTTATCGGGTATATATAATGCGTGTACCGTACGTTAGTTAGATGCCCGATAACGTAACAGCATTGGAGCCGGTACGATCTCACACGAAGTTCAATTCTTGATGTCAAAGTGATGAAAGAAAAAGAATACATTTTATGTCACACAAAAAAGTTATGTTTGTTTATTGCCATGAATGAGTGTGGGTGTCGTTTCCTCGCGACAATCCAAAATTTTCTTACCTGACCATCATCGATCGTACCGATTTCAATCCTCGGATAGTACTAGGTGAGATTTAAACAGAAAAAGAATATAAAAGGAAATAATTGGAATTTCCCGGATATAGTAACGCCTTTATATAGCGGCGGTGAGAGCGCTGGCTCAGCTTGCAAATTTCGATTTAAGTTTTTAGAGCAATAAATTGACGACAATCACGATATTTCGGCATAAGCCAGCGCTCGAACGCGACTGTTAATTCTCTCCCGTCCGTTCCCTCTCCTTGTCCCACTCCCTGAAATTCGAGATTGTCTCGTTTGTGTCGAACAACGAGACTCCGTGTGCACGAGAAAGCTTCATTTCATTAGTAGACGCGCGAGCAAGTGCAACATAAGTTTAATGTTTACCACGATGTTTATTTATTAGCTACTAACGTGTTAATCTTTTAACATGCTAGAAAACAGTAACTAGATATAATATATATTCTATAAATTATACTTTTTTATATAATTAATAGCTAAAAATTTAATTTATAGTTATATTTTTTGTAATTTTTAAATCTTATTTTATACATGATGGAT